CGGTTGCCATGCCACTTCCACTGACCGCCCCAATTGCACTCGCCACCGGCGTCGTTCTTCCACTTTGTGTCGGCCCAGCCCTTGTCAGCGGCTGGCGAGCGGCTCCAGCGCCTGGGAGGCGCCCTGGCCTGGCGCACAACGCCCTTGCCGTTGCCCTTCGACGGAGCGCTGCCGTTGCCCTTCGACGGAGTGCTGTTCCCCTTTTCCAGTCTTCTCGGAACGATCGTACTCGTTCTCTGTAACGCGCAAGATGTCGTCGCATTGCTCCAGCGCGACCTCGTTGACCTGCCTCGGCGGGGAACGTCGCGCGCGGCTCCGCGGGCCGACCGCGCGGCGATGCAGCGATGCACCAGGAGGTCGGGGATGCCCGCCGCCGACTTCCCCGCCCAATCGCGGCGGGGCGCGGCGTCGCACATCAAGCCCAGGTGCGACTTGCGCCCCCCGAGCGGCGCATACAGCGCGACCTGCGCCGACGCGCCAATGTCGGACGCGAACGGGGGCGGCGGATCGACCCCGCCTTCAGGCAGTCGTGCTTGTGCGCCAGGGCCGCGACGAAGGTCGACTGCCCTGTCGCGGCCGCGGCGACCGCGCACCTGTCAGAGGGCAGCGACACGGGGCGCGCTGCGCGCGACCCTTCCCCGCGCTGCGGCACGCGTCGAAAGCGAGGTGCAAGTGAGCCCATGACAGAGCGCCCTCGCCCTCGGCGCGCCCGTCACTGCGCGCGGGCCCGATGCCCAGCGGGACCCGCTAGCGCGGGCCCGCGTATATGAAAGGCCTGGCAATGCCTTCCTTCTCCAACTTCGCAATCTGAGGGCAGCCCGTCGACGCGGGCGGCCCCGTTGCGCGCGCGCAAGCGGCGGGCCCGCCGGCGCGACCAACTGCGGGCTGCGCGCGCCCGCCGGGGGCGCAGCGCTGGCGGGAGATTCTGAAAACTGATCTCCTTCAGCCTTTGCCCCGCGCCCGCGTGGGCAGCAGGGGCGCCCTCCCCAATGAGCGGGCGGGGGAGTTCGCCGATCGCGTCGCGCCCAAAACATGGGCCCGCGCCGCCCGGCGCCCTGCCCTCGCGCGCCAGCGGGGCGCAGCGCTTCTTTGCGACCCGCACGGGGCGCGCCGCGCGGCGCCGCTGGCCGGGGCCTCGGCGCGGCCGAACATTTTCCACGAGGTCCTCGAGAAACGCTTCCTTCTCGGGGCAGCCCGCCGGCGCGGTCGCCCCGGCAGCCAGGAACAAACGCAGCTCTTCCGCCATTGTCCGCGCGAGGTGCGGCGAAGGGCGCGGTCAAAACGTCGCCGCTGATGCCGTGGCGCGCGCGCAATGCGCGGCACGAGCGTCGAGTCGTCGCAGACCTCGCTCGTCTCGCAAAATCGCAGCCGTTCACTCGGCTCGAGCGTCGAGCCTTCACAGACCTCGCTCGTCTCGCAATATCGCAGCCGTTCACTCGGCTCAATCGTCGAGTCGTCACAGACCTCGCTCGTCTCGCAAAATCGCAGCAATTCAATCGGCGAGCGTCGAGTCGTCACAGACCTCGTTCGTTTCCCGAAATCGCAATCTTTCACTCGGTTCGAGCGTCGAGTCGTCATAGACCTCGCTCGTCTCGCAATGTCGCAGCCGTTCGCTCGGCTCGAGCGTCGAGTCGTCACAGACCTCGCTCGTCTCGCGATATCGCAGCCGTTCATTCGGCTCGAGCGTCGAGTCGTCACAGACCTCGCTCGTCTCGCATCGCCGCAGCCGTTCACTCGGCTCGAGCGTCGAGTCGTCACAGACCTCGCTCGTCTCGCAAAACCGCAGCCGTTCACTCGGCTCAATCGTCGAGTCGTCATAGACCTCGCTCGTCTCGCAACGTCGCAGCCGTTCGCTCGGCTCGAGCGTAGAGTCGTCACAGACCTCGCTCGTCTCGCAATATCGCAGCCGTTCACTCGGCTCGAGCGTCGAGAAAATGCCGCATCCCCTGCTGCTAGCTCCGATGGCTGGCAGGAAAGAATGCCTGCGCGCCGCGCTCGCCGCGCGCGCGAAGCCGAGCCGCCGCGACGCGACGCGAGATCCCAGCGGCAGCCAGAACAACGAACACAAAAAGTGCTGGCAGCGCCACGCGGCGCGGCGCGCGCCCCCCCCCCCCACGCACACACACACACCCTCACGCAGGCCGCTCCTGCGCGGCGTCACGAAACACCCCCGCGCTCCCGTTCGCTGGCGCGCGCGCGCACGCGCGCGCGTTTGTGCTTGCCAAGCAAACGAGTTTGTGGGCCGACAAAACTCCTGGCCGTGAGGACGCACGATGACGAAGCGCCCCGCGACCTGGAGTCTGACCATGCATGGTGCACCGGCGCATCAGCAACGACACTCCAGCAAGACAGCGGCCGTTATCTTCAAGACTTCTGACCATTCCCTGGCAGCTTTCTCGTCCCATGTCCCGGTTTCCCTGAGTCTGCCCCGCCCCTCCGTTAAGGCAGCGGGGCGCGAGCAACGGCGCTCCGGCCAGACAGCGGTGGCTATCTTCAAGACTTCCGACCAGTCCATGACAGCTTTCTCGTTCCATGTCCCGATCTCCCTGAGTCTGCCCCATTCTGCTCTGAATACGCGTCGAGTCCAGGACAAAGCCATTCCAGCCGCGTTGAGTCCAGGACACGAGTCGCGGGTTTCCAACATCTCCCAACCCAGACCCCCAGAACCACGATTCGCTCATGGCGTCGCCCCCAAAAGGTCTGGACCCATCCCCCGGGACTAACTTTTCATTCCGAATTGTTTTGTTACTTCCCCGAGCCCCGGCGGGGCTCCTGAAGGCCGAAAATAACGGAAAACCTCCTCATCATCATCATCCTCGCCGCTCGCCGTCGTCGCCGGTCATGACCGCCATCGCGCGCTTTTGGCAGCAACGGAAGCGTCCCAGATCGGCGGCACTGGCCGGAGGCCGCTACAATAACGGAAAGCCTCCTGTCATGATTTTTGTCGGCCAGATGGCGGGGGATGCGACCCACGCGAGCAGACCACGGCGTGCGCGGGCACACCGGATCTCTTCCTTCCCCTTTTCCACTTCCCGCTTCCTCCTGCTCCTCCTCATCCTCGGCATCCTGCTGCTCCTGCCCCTCCCACCCCTCCACCCCATCATGATCCTCCTTCTCCTCCTCCTCCTCCTCCTCCTCCTCATCATCATCATCATCATCATCATCATCATCATCATCATCATCACCATCATCATCATCATCCTACTCCGCTGCCTCCATTCCCACCCCTCATCATCATCCTCGCCGCTCGCAGTCGTCGCCGGTCATGACCGCCATCGTGCGCTTTTGGCAGCAACGGAAGCGTCCCAGATCGGCGGCACTGGCCGGAAGCCGCTACAATAACGGAAAGCCTCCTGTCATGATTTTTGTCGGCCAGACGGCGGGGCATGCGACCCACGCGAGCAGACCACAGCGTGCACGGGCACACCAGATACGGAGTCAGTCGGCTACAACGGGTGAGGAATGCGCGGCGCAAGCCTCGGCAGGCCGAGAGGCTTGGGCCAGACAGACCACAGAGCTGCGGGAGCAGGCGGAGGAGAAGGGGCACGTCGAGGTCTTCGCTGTTTTTCCTCCTCGGTCCTCCTCCTCCTCCTCCTCGCTCCTCCTCTTCCTCGGTCCTCCTCGGTCCTCCTCGCTCCGCCTCCTCCTCCTCCTCCTCCTCCTCCTCCTCCTCCTCCTCCTCCCTCTTCCTCCTCCTCCTCCTCCTCCTTCTCCTCCTCCTCCTCGCTCCTCGCTCCTCCTCCTCCTCCTCCTCCTCCTCCTCCTCCTCCTCCTCGCTCCTCGCTCCTCGCTCCTCGCTCCTCCTCCTCCTTCTCCTCCTCCTCCTCCTCCTCCTCCTCGCTCCTCGCTCCTCGCTCCTCCTCCTCCTCCTCCTCCTCCTCCTCCTCCTCCTCCTCCTCCTCCTCCTCCTCCTCCTCCTCCTCCTCCTCGCTCCGCATCCTCCTCCTCCTCCTCCTCCTCCTCCTCCTCGTCCTCCTCCTCCTCCTCGTCCTCCTCCTCCTCATCCTCCTCCTCCACCTCCTCCTCCTCCTCCTCCTCGCTCCTCCTCGCTCCTCCTCCTCTCCTCCTCCTCCTCCTCCTCCTCCTCCTCGCTTCTCCTCGCTCCTCCTCGATCCTCCTCGATCCCCCTCGTCCTCCTCGCTCCTCCTCCTCCTCCTCCTCCTCCTCCTCCTCCTCCTCCTCCTCCTCCTCCTCCTCCTCCTCCTCCTTTCCTCCTGCGCCTCCTACTCCTCCTCTGGCTGAGGAGGAAAGAATGAGGAGGAGGAGGAGGAGGAGGAGAAGGAGGAGAAGGAGGAGGAGAAGGAGGAGGAGAAGGAGGAGGAGGAGAAGCATGTCTAGCTCTCGACCCATCGTCTCCTCGCTGTGCTGCGTGCCGTGCTTTGGGCTTCGTCGGGGCCGCATTTCTGATCTTGCATGGCGCGGTCCTGCTGCAGGAGGCAGGCCGCGCCCCTGAGCTACGGGCCAGATCTCCCCGACAGCACTTCGAAGAAGAGGAGGAGCATGCATGAGGATGAGGAGATAGTGAAGAAGCAACAATGGCATAATCGTAAACTTTCTGCGCTCCGCGCGGATTTCTCGGATCTGCGCTGACCTCCTGGCGGCGTGTCCAGCGCCGCTCCTGGCGCGCTCCGCGCGACAGGGAGGGGGGGCCAGCGCAGATCCAAAAGATCCGCGCGGAGCGTCGAACGTTTATGCCTGTGCAGTTTTCTCTTCTTCGAGATAGGGTCAAAACTAATAATAAGGATGCACGATAAGAATGCAAGCCCCTTGGACGCCCGTGTCGAAGCTTTTCGAACGGGGCTGGCCATCGAAAGGGATTAAGGATGGACCAAGGAGGCAAGTATGCAAGGGTACCCTTGGGAAGGTGACCGATCTGTACTATCGATTCCGACTGTAGAGGAGAAGGGAGAAGACGCATCGAAAGGAACGTTGCGGTGGGCGGGCGGGCGGGGCAGGGTCGGCAACGCGAGCGGAGGATCCAGCGCTACAGGGAGGGGGTC